CCTGGGCACCAGTTCAGCTGCGGGTGTGATGAGTTCACAGATCAACTTCTTCAGCTTTGCCATTCTATACCCAAGTACAGTAGATCCAATTATAATGAGTCTACTTCAGAACGACACATAGTTTATCACATCTACCACATCCGAGCAGTCTAGTAATGGCCAATCACTACATGGACATTAAAACATTGGCTGAAGCTAGCAGGTGCATTGCCTTCAATTCAGAGCTAGAGTACGGATTCGAATAATTATTTTCTTTTGCAAGGAAGGATGAATGGGAGATCTCACTATCAAATCTGATCATTCATGAGTCCGAGGTACTTGGAAACGGGGCTTTCGCTGTTGTCCACAAAGCCACTCTAAAAGGTAAGCACGATTGTAGATGAAAAATTTCATCACCAAAATTGGTGGTACTCTGCGAAGGCTTGGAATAGCAGGCAGTAGAAGCTTTTATAGGGTGTGCCTCGCTTTTTTTATAGCGTGGGACCAGCGGCAAACGACACAAATCTAATCGTCAGTGGAGCTTGATTCTCGAGCTTGAGCTTCGTACTTCACGTTTTTAAACATAAGGAGATAGGATAGCAACGTTTTTCGCAGTTCTGCCGCTGGGACTGTGCCTTTTATAATACACTGGTGTGCAAAACTTAGGGACGAACGTAGCTTTTCCAACGACGTGTTACTGGCGCGTAACATGACTCTATGGAACCTAACCACACATACAAAGAGCTGCCACAGGGCACTAAAGAAAGCAGTTAACAGGAACCGTTAAACGGTCCACAAAGCTATCAAAAGGTTATGATACTTCATCTGTCTCGTCCTTAAGTTTTGCACACCAGTGTATTTCAAAAAATGCTTTATGAGGCACCGAACCACCTGCACCAAAAACGTTGAAAGTTGAAGCATACATCGGTGAGACTGCACATCCTATCCTTTGCCGATCGATCCCAAATCACCAAGCGTAAATCTTTTCGTTTGACGAAGGTTAAATTTTGGAGAAAGCCAGAAAAACTTTGATTTTCCGCTCAGGAATCCGTCCCACGAGGCAAAAAAGGCGTCCCACGTCGAGCCGCAATGTCGCTAATGGGTCAAGAGGTTAAGAAGTCATGAGATTCAGTGGGAGAAATCAGATACGTATTGATTAGGAGAGTAGGAGATTGAGAGACTGTCAAACCAATCAATACCTGCCTAGTCTCTCAGATATTCTGAGGGTAAATATTCTAATCTCTTGAACGTGAAATATTAGGTTCAGTCACAAGTGAGTGCCAAATTGACTTCGATTCAAAATGCCACAACTTTTTTTAGTATCATCATTCTTCGATGCCATATTCACCACAACTGTCTATGACTGTCCTCCATCTACAAAGTGCTCGGATACCACTCCCTCAGAATTGCTCAGTCTCTGGAGCAAGGAATATTCGGACTTCCATTTGAAGGTGTTCGTGATCACCTCGTAGTTCCTCTTCCGTTCAGGAAACGAGCATGCGAGAGGGCAAGCTCTTCTCAAACCCAGTGACCCCTTGTCACGCCAATGAAACTCCACGAACTTTAGAAGCAATAACTGTGGCCAAGATTTTCCTTGTGGCCTCCAAGTAACCTCATCCATCTCATGAGGATCTGGGAGGGCAGGAATCCCACAGCAGTTTGAAAGGTACTGGACGACGAGTTGCCTACGCAGAGTCTTGGATACGTTCCATATCTGCAGGCAAGGGGTGTCCAGGACATGGATGAACTTCGAGGCTATAGTCGCCCTGGTACACTTTTGCCAAGCTCTCTATTTCACCGTGTCTTGCCCTTCAGCTTCAAAAATTTTCCAAAAAGGTTGTCTCGCCGAGTGCTCCAGACACAAGAAGACAACGACGAATATGAGTTGAAATGGATGGTACTATTCTTTCATAATGTAGTACTTACGGTCGAATTTTGGAAATTAAAAAGATACTAAGGTAGCCACATAGCGCTCTACCTGGAACAAAACAAACTTTGCCTTAGGAAGGATGGAGCGAGTGTTATGATATCGGCACTTACTCATGACTATTGTATAGAATGTAGACTCGGCCTCAATGTTGGACGAACACTCTGATTCGTTCTGCGTTCATTTACCCAAGTTACACGGTCAAACGGCGAAGCAGCAAGAACTGATGTTTGCACCCCCTGACGAAACTTTCGAAACCTACTAAAGCCGATGCGCAGCTTGACTTCTTTATTTATTGCCAACACCGCAAGGAAACGATACATAATACATTTGATCGAAGACTAATGTTGTTTACTATTGGAAATAATTTATAGGGAAAGATTCCCACTTGCTCGTTGTGAATCCACGCCTAAACCTAGTCAGCGAGCACGAACAAGAAAATGGAACATGTGAGGTACGACACGTTCACAAATTAAATCGCTCACCTTTTTCTTATGGTCTGTTTAGGCAGCCGTCAAACGCCTACCTACACATGCCAACGATCAGAATCGCATGGAATTTTTCCAAGAGATCAACTTTCATGAAGAATCTTGGCTATCACGCCCATGTGATCAGGTGAGCTCCACCTAGCTTTGGCTAGTCCTATAGTTCCTTGCAAACAATTGAATTTCCATTTATAACTATACCTCCAATTCAGCAAGGGCTTAATCCCATGAATAAGAAGCGTTCAATGTGGATCACAAGCGGATGGCTTGAATGGTGCTTAGGAACACTAAAAGGCGGAGATAATTTTCCACGACCCTAATCTATTTTCCTGAAATGCGCCATGCACTCGATTTCCTCCTACATTTTTTGGAGCGCTTGAAAACATAGTGGCTCATGCAGCGGCTTATGCGAGCCAGGTGATGGTAGTATGTGGCTAAACGTTTTTCTTCTTCTGAATGGGTCTGCTGTCGACGTCTCATCCAACAGCGATCCTTATCAAATGTGTACACATTTTTTTATCATTCGTAACTAGTAAGTAATCCACAACTAGTTGGATCACATTTACATCACTCTGACACCATACCCGCTGTCATTTGTTATCACTTCCGACCACTTACAATCTGTGCCTCCACTCCCCAATCCTACACGTGGGAACCAACGCTCCACTGACACCGAAGGGCGCAACGAAACATGTAAAAACCACATTCTGACTTTTCTTATCAGCTCTAATCGGCAGCTATAACCCTAGTCCAACCACCGGTCTTCTTCTTCTTCCTAGCGTTAGTCTCTGTAAGTCCCACGCAGTCGCAGGGTCCGCTGATATACCGTCGGAAGTTCCATGAACGTCTCTACCAATCACCGATAGTGTCCACGGTCAATCTCCCATATTAGAATAATGTCACACTGTTGAAAGACACGTGTTATAAATTTAATGACACACACACAAAATGTTTTATGTATTGTAGGAAGTCCCATGAATATGTTACTTTAAGGGTAGGGTATGATAGGGTAACTTTATCGCTCACACAGTTCAAATAAAGAGCTCCTATCGAACAAATATTCCTCACTAGCTGGTCAGACGACTTCGACACTTTCTGCTTGTTATTTTCTTTTACAGAATATAGCTAATATGGATCTTAGAAGCGACTATGAGCTGGCTGCCATAGCCCTCTCCTCACGCTTTTTGGAAATAATGAGAATGATGTTCAAATGGCTGGCATTCTCGCCTGTTTGCTCTCAAGGGGCAGTTGCGCTGGCTCAGAGGTGGATAAGAGTTCCACACGGCATTGACGGGAAGGTCGAGATAAGAGCTGAGATAAAGTTTGTTCGGACAAGCTAAGGTGCTAGCATGCTAACAAGTAGTTTGATATCAAGATCGTGATAAATAAGCAAGAACTATAACTTACACGTGTCAATCATGCAGCCATTGCCACCGTTCCCATTCCGAAATAGTGGGCGAGCAGAGTGAAAGTTGAGGATCCTTTCCAGCGCCTTATCACGCAGTTGATAAGGCGTCCGGACCTAATCACGTCGTTGACAAGGCAGGTGCCACCTACCATCCCATCGGGTAGGTCTCTCACCCAATCCACTATGGCCCTTTCTCGTTCGTTCACACGGGTTAATTGACATACACCTTTCCCCCTTTTTTTTTTTTTTTTTTTTCTTTTTTCGTCATTAAAGGCGCAGCGATTACGATAAAGAGGGAAGCGCATCGGGGAAGCATGTGCACCACACGAATCAGTTACTTGGGCTGCCGGGAAGCGAGGAATGTGGCGCTTTCACAACGAAAGGTGCGCTGGTTGCTGAGCAGGACTTCGAAAGCGCTCCGCCCCAAAAGCGATCCGCCCACTAGTTTACTTGTTGATTTGGACGAGCTGCGTTGCCAGCAGCGGCGCAAATGGAGCATCTCGATTAAAGCGTAGTTTGGCATGGTGCCATCAAACGCGTTGCGGTGAACTCGTTCATACGTCCACTTTCTTAGCTGTTACCTGTTCAATGACTTATTTTCCTGCTTTTTTGCTACTGGCGTAGCATGGAGCAACACCACGTCACACCAAACCTTTCTTAAATTTATCTTAAATTTATTGTAATCGCTGCCCTTAAGGAGCAATTTTTTTAATGATTTTGCTACAATAGCCCAAACAGAATACAGATGTCAGCATCGTCTTTCCCAACTTCAAGAAAAATTCAAATTGGCTATATATAGTAGGATAAGCTTCATCGCATTTTTTTCAGTATGTTGGGCTGTGTCTCTTGCCCGGAAACCCCGATGATCCTTGTCGAGTACTGTGCACATGGAGATTTGTTGCGATTCCTGCGGAATCATCGCGAGCTCATTCTCATGGTAAGCTTCTTTCTCTAGTGAAAAGCCTAGGATAAGAACTTGGTGCCAATGTAAGATAATACAAAGGGCTTCCACAATGATCACAGTTCTAAGCGGTAAGCTCGAAGAAGTCCAGGGTTGTACCCAACATGCATTCATGTCATACTCTTCATACCACCAATATTCAATGGCAATTTCGCAACCACTAGGTCGGCAAAATCTCGTCAAGTTAAAACCGAATTTTACGAAAAAAAAACCCATTGCTCATTGGCTGTGAAAGTAGAGAAGCTAGAGGGTGCTCCCTTTTAGAGAAATCCGAAACGGCTAAAACCCATGCGCTACCAACATTGCGCTTTGGGCGAGATCAACAGTAGATTATGCCAATGAATTGAAAGCGCTGTTCGGCTCTCCTTACTTCTCTCGCACAGGCGGCGGTCCATAACCAGACCGGTTACAGCCCGAGTACTGCAGTAGAAGGCAGGTCGCACCAGCGCTTGCCGGGGTTGCGGCTAGCTAGGTGGGCACTGATACCTGTCTCACTCGCTTTCTTGAGGACCCTTCTTCCTTTTGTAGTAGGCATATCTCCCCTTCAATCACATCCAATCAATTGCAACGTCCGCCTTCAAGATAGACTGATCCACAAGCGAGTGGGTCGCGCCATTTTCATACACTAGGGTGAGGGCAAAAATTGATATGCTCCCTCCTCCCCCCACCCCATAAATACTT